GGGTAGAGTAGAGGGACAGCGCAGGAGGGGAAGACCCTCTATGAGGTGGATTGATTCAGTGATTGGGGTAATCGGGATGGGTGTGTCAGACGCAATGAGATTGGCACAGGATAGATCACAGTTTAGGGCTGTTGTACATAGGGTCGCTATGAGTCACAAACGCCTCGACGGCACATAACGACAAACAATTCAACAACAACAAACAACCATATTGAAATACAGAAAATCCATTTTATAGATGTCTGTGAGCTATGTACACTCAACGGCACACACCTTTGTCAGTTTGAACCCGTCAGCAACTCCTTAGGAGAAATACAGGCAATTTGACATGTATTTTATAGACAGACTTGTTGGAGGGTCAGCTATGAGTTTACTTTTTTATATTTTGGTTTGGTGTTTGGGTATTTTTGTGTGTGTGTGTTGGTTTTCATTTTGTTTTTAAATACTAGTTTATTTACGAAGTTATACATTGTTTTTTACTCTGGGAAAGATCCCGTATGAGTTGTTTCTGACTTGATAGTCATGGGTTTTTTACCATCTCCACATATGTGGAATATGCTTGATCAAGTATAATAATGACGTGCACGATGTTTTAAGCCATGTGCAAAAGGAAAAATGCTTTCAATAGAAAGCCTTTGGAAATTTTTTTTTACAAAGGTTTATTTATGTGAGCCAGCAGGAGAGACACCCTCCCCTCACTTCTCTTATCCCCACACTTTGTCCTGAGGGTGCAGTAGTCCAGAAACTGCCTGATTACAACAGCATCTTCACTGTATAAAATGCTGCTTGTTATCCTGGGAACAAGTAGTTGCTTCTCACTATTTCTGCATAGACCCTTTGTCTAAATGGTGGGGGTTGGGCTGGGGGTAGGGGTGAGGGTGGGAAGGTGGGGGTGGTGGAGCATTAGTACATTAAGTCAATGATTCAGCAACACTATGAGTAACAGATCTGAACCTTGCCCTTTCCCGCTTCCTCTTCCCCCTCCCTTTTTATTAATCCTGATTTATTTACAAAGTTTGAAATACATTGGTTTTCAGATTGGATCTTTCACATTTCCGTCATACACCCCCATCAAACTGTGCGACCCTATGATTAATTCCCCATCCCCGGCCCATCCTCACCCATCTGCTTACAT